CAAAGTCATCTGAATCCCAATAAGAGAATAAGGGCAGCTACTTATTAAAAGAAAAAACTGAGTAATGAAACAACAAATAGTGATACTCAGAGCAGGTAAATGAGCAAAATAGTGCTTAAGAAAAGTCAACATAATTAACAACTAATCAACAGGTCAACATGTGAAATAATAATAATCATTTGCATCATATAACTGACTTGGAAGAGCTAACTGTGGATGCCAATGGAAGCAAAACTAGCAGAAAATTGGTTCAAGAAAAAAGTTGAATGGCAAAAAAGGAGATCAGCAAAGTTAATCGGTTTGAGATTAACAGTCATGGAGTTTCAAGTAATAACAAAGGGCAGGCAAATAAGGAAACAAACTAATGAAAGCACGCCACATTGGAGTGATTTGATCAACAGATTAGCATAACTGAATACACCATAAGCACTGTAGTTTAAACGTATATAACCATGTCTGTGACCTACTTTCATCAGCTCTACCTCATAATCAAACTTTGCATAAATTTGCACTGCTTGCATTACCACTTCATTGAAAACTGGACAGCATTTAAGTAGGGAGCCTAGTATACGATTCCGAGAAAGCCCATCTGTGGAGTAAAGCATGGACAGACTGTTTGTAATACTAAGGGAAACTAGACAGCTCTTTTGCTTTTCAAAATTTGGATAATCTATTTATTCCTTGTTCTTGATGCACAAACTACCGTATAAGAAAAATCATCATACCTAATGTCTTGAAAAGAAATGATCATGCTGATGCAAAAGAAAATTATTGGGCTATTATAAGGTCAGTAAAAGCATGAAGTGGAAGCACATCATGTAGCAGAAAGATAGTAATCAATTGAGAAGTAGGCACGTGGTGCACCACGCAGTCAAAGATGTGATGTAAGGGAAATGAAAATATTCACCTCGATATGTGTTATTGCAGTAGAAAATCAAATAGTATGCAGAAAACATTAGACAGAAATATCAAATGGATAATAATTAAGGTGTCATATGCCCGAAATTACATATTAAATTTCTGAAGTCAGCAGAAGCACTATTTTTTTATTGCCAACAGTGTATTACAAATTTTCATGCCTTACCGTTCATAGAGGATCTGACAAAATTATATATCAAAGTTCCAGTTATAGAAATAAAAGAGCTTTCTTTTCTACACACCCACAAATTTTTTATATATTCATACATAAATATAACCAGAATGACTAGAATGAAAATTTTCAAATGGGCATTCCCAAAACTAAACGAGAATGGCTGCAAGAAACAGATTCTACATAATTGTTTCGAAATGAAAGCAAAGATACAATTTTAAATTGCCGAACCAAATATCCATACTTCCAAAGAGCCAAAACCAGAAAAGTCATTCACTGATGCAAGGGCATCTTTGGAAAAAGTATATAGAAAAAGCTCTTTCTTCGAGTGAACTTCCCACTGATGATGACCAAGACATCACATGTTTGGAATGAAAAAATGGCTTAAGGCAACATAGAAGGCCAAATTTCCGTTAGTCATTTGGATTCATTTGAGTAACTGGTGGGTTATTCTTTGAGACATTGTGATATCTTCTTGATATTGTTAATGGCTAAGACTAATAAATCAAATGATTCTTCTATAAGCAGGGGAAAAAAAATTTGCTACAGGTTAACATAAAGAACAAGAACAAGCATGTTACAGATCAAACAAATACATGCATAAATACATGTTACATACATTATCCCAGATACCATTTCATAAAGCACAAACTAGATTCTTGGTAGCAATTTAAGATGCCAAATCTAGGAAAGAATTTTATAACTGGATTTTTCTTAAAAAGAAGGCCACTATGGTAGACAAGTTAACATCCATGCTCATGAAATCAATGTTGGTAAAAGATCAACGTTGCCAACCCCAAATAGTCGGGACATTACCGTTTGTTTTTATTGTTATTGTTGTAAAATTTTAACAAGAAAAAAGAAATTTACAGTGTGTTCGAACAGCCGCAAACGTAGCAATACATGTCATGTAATAGTAGTGTGACATTTAAGAACAATTAAATCTTTGCTGGACTAGGAAAAACTGCCAAGAAGAATAGCTACATCGCTAATTGCAACTTCAAATAAGAAGATAACAGATGAGCAGAAATGTAATGGTATTAAAGCAATGCCTGAGCATTGATTCACTCTAAATCATGTGGAAAGAGAGAAAAAAATTCAAGAGATGTTCTAATTCTTCTGATATATTATAATCATGATAGACTGTTTAACTAAAAAAGTGTCAACCAATGATGGTGAATAGGTTCTTGAGCGGTGATAAAGCAAGCAAATATCTATCCTGAGCACCAGGTAGGCTATCATGGGGCCCAGTAATTTGCAGTTCTAGCTATACGTACAAGAAATTGTTATCCATCCTAGTAACAAAGGGCAATCTAGTACAAGGCCTATAATTCAAAAACTGCAAATGAGTACGAACAAAAAATAACACTCGCGATTGTTCGCCATACTTAAATGAAAGGCCAATCTATTAATCACAGATGGAAGCTACAAAAGCAGCGTTTTTGGAAATTTCGAGTAAACGAGTAGTACAATGTGGACATTCTATCAGGCATTAACAACGCAGGAAATTCAAGAACAAAGAGCAGCACAGCCAATTAGATGTTAAAGAGAAAGAAGAACAAAACATCCTATTTCAACAAGCGAGCTGCAGATATAAATCTAGGCAGTACCAGTAGGCGAGATGGACTTCACCCAAGATTGTGGAAGCATCTGAAATGAGTCGATCATCTGCTGTTGTTGTTGCTGCTGCTGCTGCTGCTGCGCATCTCCCACTCCTACTGAACCAATGTTCAGTGCTCCGGTAGAGGAGGATGCCAAGTTGGGGTTGCTTTTGGCCTCAACCAGGCGCCACATGTACCAGGAGCCGACAGATCTATACGGCTTCCACCGCTCGCAAAGTTGCTCCATTTGCGAGGGCCGTGGGACGTCATCGAGGCCGTAGAGCATCTGCACGCCCTTGCGAACACCGAGATCTCCAACGGGGAGGACGTCGGGGCGGTGCAAGCAGAACATCATGAACATGTGGACGGACCAGGCGCCGATGCCCTTGACCATTGTCAGCATGGAGAACAGGGACTTGTCGTCCATGGCGACGATTGTTGCGTCGGAGAGTATGCCGCCATGGTATTTGCGCGCGAGATCATGGAGGTAGGAGGCCTTGCGTTCGGAGACGCCGATCTGGCGGAGCTGATGCGAGGTGAGGGAGAGGACGACGTCGGGGACGACGCCGGCCTCCCCGCCGCAGAGGGCGAGGAAGCGGGCATAGATGGAGGCCGCGGCTTTGATGGCGAGCTGCTGGTAGAGGATGCTGCGGGCGAGGGAATGGAAGGGCGTGAGGAGGCACTGGAACGTCGGGGAATCGTGGGCATCGATGACGCGTGCTAGGATGGGATCGGTAGCGCGGAGATGTCGAAGCGCGGAGGCGATCTCGCCATCTGCCGAGAGAGGGCGGGGGATCACGCGGACAGCGAGGCGGTTGCCAGCGGCGGGGTTCTTACCGGGCGCGTCGTCGGCGGCCGAAGCGGCAGAAGAAGAGAGCTTCCGGATCTTTCGAGGGCGGAAAGGGATCTTGGAGGCGGTGGTTGTGGCGGCGGCAGCAGCCGCGGAGTTGTCAGTAGACGATGCGGCGGTGCCAGCGGGGGAGGAGGAAGAAGGGGCGAAGTGGAGGGTATGGGAGAGGGTTTCTTCGCCCATGGAAGCGAGGATCTGTATGGGTTCGGCGATTGACGGACGGTGGTGCTGCGGAAAGAGGTCGGGCTGCGGCCACAGGCGTTGGGCCTGTCCCAGAATAGGAGAAACAATAAATAAAATTATATTATAAATTAAACAATAAATAACGTGACCGAGACCCAGTTTTCTGCTTCCATAAATACCTCGTACCACGACTCAACTCACGAGCCAAACCGCTCCTCCATCTCGGGCCCTTGATCTGCGCACGTCGGTCTGTCTTCCTGGTTTCTGCGGTACCATAAGCCGGGTCGTCGTGAACCGGCATCTCTCGTTTGTCGACCAACGGTGAGAGACGAACACACCGTCATCAGTGATTCGGGTTCCGGATCCGGTCCGGGCTCATTGAGCAAAAGGACACGGTTTGGGTTTAACATCAACCATAATCCGATCCGACGTAATCTCCTTGAGCTTAACCCGTCTCATATCTGAATTGGACTCGGGTCTTCTTGCTTGGGTCAAGACATGACTTCAATCAAACTCCAACTCTCGCCCATCTTTACGGACGATTAATGAGTCTTACCACGTACACAATAAACAGTAATGAGGATAGTAATTATGATAAGACTTGGCTGACCGAGGCGTATTAACATCCTGCTAAAGCTCAATTCTTCACGCCACGCCAACACAAAGTCAGACGTTACCAACCTGTCCCCTGCAAGCGGGCAGCTCAGGAAGCAGTATGCTTCCCTATAAATACCCTCTCGTTCATTAGAAAGTGTGGGGGGGGGGGGGGAGACAGACCCACGAAAACACTTCTTCATCTGAAACCCCCTCCACATCTGCTAATTTGATCGTCGGAGGGGTTGGGCCGAGGCACTCGGCCCGACCTTTGTGCATGTGCGAAGCCGAAGGTTCCCTCCGGACGCGCAAGCGAGGAGTTCCTGCCCGGAGGAGATGGCTACACCATTCCAATCGGACATCGCACCCGACCGCCTCAGCGAGCTCGAGGAATGCCCCAGGGAGATCCCCGTCGTCCGGGCCCAAACCGAGCTGCGTCGGCCCCGAGGCCACGGCTCAAAGATGTTTTCCACAACAAACAGTTAGCGCCATTTAAGATGATGATAGGAACACATCAGAAAAGCTTTGTAATGCCTTCGTTACACAATCCGATCGAGGCTTATAGCACTCAACTTGTACAGAAATCAGGTTTAACTTAATTTCTTTGTTACTCTCCTCCTCCCGTCGTGACTTGCTTTGATGTGCGAATTAGCGTTGTTTCAGCAGCAACAACATCGAGAAAAAGAAACAAAAAGTACAATAATCCGATAATAAACCAGAATAAAATTCATGGTTCATGAACTAATAAAAGCAAAAGCTAATTAACATTTGTTGTCGTTGCTGTTGCTGACTTGACTGTTGGGGAGATGTAGTATAGATTTTAAGGCCGCTACTATGTGGCTTTCGATCGATCACTTCGGAAACTTCCGCTTTTAATTGTATTGGAATAGGCTCGGCCTGTCGCGGACAGGAAACTGAGGCGAAGGAGCGACGTTGAACTGCCAGGAGAGGTAGGGTGCTTCTCCGTGGTCCGCCATCTCGTCGTACATGGCGATGGATGAGTTGGTCTTCATCGTGGACGAAGCGTAGCAACTCCATGGTGACTGCTGCTGTCGATGGTATCCGTAGCCAATCCCCTGGTCCCCTGCTGCCGCTGTCACCGACGGCGACGACGAAGGTGGCACCGACGACGCCGCCGCACGCCTCTCTTCTTTCTTGTAGCGAATGCCGCACGCGTTACACAACGACTGCATGGATTCCATCGAGTCAAATATAATGGGTTGCCAGAGGAAAAAGCTGTGAAGACAGCGAGTCGTACCTTGGGACCTCGTGGTCCATTCCGCCACAGTGGAGTCGAGGTCGTATCGCAGTTGGCGCACCTACGAGCTAAGAGAAGAGGGTCGCCGCCCAAGCTGGAGCCGTTGGCATCTCCACCACTGGACGCAGTTGAGCCCATGGATGAGTTCTTCTTGGACTGGGATATGATATCCCAGCGGAAGCTAGACATGCACGACGTCCGCTGGATCTGGTTAAACGAGGCGGAGGGCTTGCTCTCGGTTTGGCGCGTGGAAGGGGTCCCAAGCGACAGGGTGCAATCAACCAAGGACGGGGAGGAGGAAGTGGAGTGTGTGGCATCAAAGTCTTCATCCACGGAATGCTTTCCGGCGATCGGGAAGAGAAAAGAAAACGATGCGCCGCCGCCACCGCACCCGCTGTAGACGAACCCACAGGAGCACGGGTACGCGCTGCACTGGTGACCGCACTGGTGCAACATGGCTCGGGACTCTGGAGCAGCTGAAGCCGAGAGGAAGAACGCTCAAGCTAAGAGTGTGGACTGCGAAGAGGGTTTGAGGAGAGAAGGCTGTTCTGCTCTTTTAAAAACGGAACACGGCACGTACGACTACGCCTGTGGGGATGACTAGCATCGGGATGGGGAAAGAGGAGGCCAACTACTACGAGATACAAAGTGGTCTATATGGATGCAGTGTGTGTGTGGTTTTGTAGCAATGGTAATGTGTACCTGGGCCAGCAGACAAGGCACAGCAGGCTTAATGGAGCATATTGATGATGCTTTGGGACAAAAACAATGCTACTAACAACGTGTGGGAACTAGAGAAATGGGAGATCGGGGTTTGTCGGTTTTCAAGCAGATCAAGTGTGTTAAACAATACTTGTCGATGTGGATGAGTATATTTATGGCTGGTGATGAATAGATAATGCTGGTTTTATATTGGTTGGGGGGGGGGGGGAAGGGAGGATGGAGAAGGGCAGTCGGCAGCAGCAGTACGATGGCGTCGTCTTGTGATGGAGATAGAGACGATGAGATTCTCCGGGATGGGTGCGATTGCAGTGTGGTGTATCGCGTCCACCGATTCAGCTGTATTACTTCGACACTCCTCGTCACTCTCAGGAGATGGGTGGCTTGGGCTTGGCGCGTGTACTATCTATGTTTTTTCTTCTCTCTCTTCATCTTGTCTCTCTGGGCTAATCTACTCTTCCACCTCGGTATTGGGAGCGAGGGAGAGAGAGAGAGAGAGCCAAGTTGGCGTTGTGGCTTGTTCCTCCGCACTGCTTCTTATACAACAACGACATACGACTGGTCTAACAAGACGATGTAGCATGGCGCAACGGAGGTGGTGCACAGGTAAGAGGACGGGCGAGGAGGCTTGTGGCGCAGCAAACAATGCAGGTCAGAGGAGACCGATCGGGTTGGTCATTGGGCGGTCAAAAGAGGCCACGTGACTCGAGGAACAGTCTTCCATGTAATCTCACACTTCGCCGATCACGAGGCACCCTCCATGACAGATTAGAACAAAAACACAAACAAAGACCAACTGCACCGGCCTTTGATCATTTTCTTTATCGCCCTCCCATCAACAGCTCGCTCACGTGACGTTCTCTACGTAAGGGAATGTGTACAGTGAGAAAGAAGATGCAGAGAAAGAAAAAGAAAAAGAAGGGAAAACAAAATAAAAAGACGATATAGGGTGGAAATAGTAGCATGGGATGGCTGCCGTCATCATTACCGACGCTTCAAAAGGGGCAGAGCAGAATCACCGGTCCAAGACCGGGCTGGAAGATCCCGTCTTTTGACACCAATCAAAGAGAGAGCGGCCACCTCCATGTCGTCCCTATCCGTCTACATGTCCAATAAAGTCGTAAACAGTAAACAGTGAAAGCTGGGGGGAGAAGGGAGGGGGGAGGGGGAACGCACTCCGTGCAGCTAATCATTCCCACCCTCCCGCTAACGTTCGGTCTTCGTGAGCTGTTACTTGCTGCGCCCCTTTGTTCCCCAAGTCAAAGGGAGGCTCAGGTGAAAAGAGAAAGTGAAAGCAGGTGGAGCCCATCAGTCTCCCCTCCGTAGCACAGGCCAGGCCTGCCCGGCCCCACCCTGATCGACTGGTCTACTGTCCCCAACACCAGCCAGCACACGGGCCCCGCGGCAGCTGCCACAGGGGTTATGCCCACCTGCAGCGTTGAATCGAGAGCGAGATCGCATGCATTCCGTCGAACAGGTGATCCGCATCAGGAGATCGTCGTCAAAAGGCTTGCCCCGACACATCCAGACACGTCTGGAGATTGGAGTTACATTGCTCAGAAAATGAGAGAGAGAGAGAGAGAGAGAGGAGGAAGAGGAGGAGGCATCTTTTGGAAAGCGGAGAGTCGCCAAAAACGATCGGTCTCTTACTGCGTCTGTGCCTACAAAATCCAATCGTCGCGAACAACGAGCAGGCGGCGTCCCCGAGAAAGAGAAAGGGCAAAACTTGGAACCAAGTAAAAGATAACATGGATTCAAACATAATACCGTCTCTGTTTCCGATCGCGCTGTCGCGTCTTGAGAACTGAGATCTCTTCCTTTCTTGACCAAGGCGTGCATCTGCTGTCCGCATCGGGTCACGCAACGGGCGGAATCAGCGACGAGAGGACGCCACCTGTCCGTCACGGTTCTCGTTGTCCGAGTACTGCAGCATGAGGTGTTGTGGGTGGGCGTGGCGAGGCGGGGGATTTAGGCGGCTGGGATCGGTTGTAACTCGAGATGCGGAGCTGTGATCCACGCCAACTGGCGTAGCTTTGTACACGGAGACCCTGGTGATGTGACGCATCTGGTGTGGTCCCCAAGCGCAAGGCTTTTAACACTGGGCCCAAACCGAGATTGACCGACAGCTCGGACCGCGAGGAGATTAGGGCTGGCCATGCTTCCGTGTACTCACTCCGTCTGCCACGTTTCATGTTTCTGTTTCGAGAGCCATGTCGTGTACGCTCCCATAAATGTGGTTCCCGTAAGGACGCCACGTATATAATAGAAAATAGTAATTAACATATATAATAGAAGTTTAAGTTGTCAAAAATATTGAGATGAATGCATTCAATTATTAGAAAAAATAAAAAAATATTTTCTATTCATAAATTATTATATATTATTTTGATAAAAGATAAAAAAAAAATTAATATTAATGATATAAAGAGATGTGGAAAAAGATCTAAAAGAATTTTAATATAAACTATTGATAAAAATAAATATTTTTATTTTAACTAAGTATATAATTTTTTGTAGGCCTCAATGGCAATAAATGATCCATAAAATCGATCATAAATAATTAGGATTTATGATTTTATTGTTATCGTTATAGTAATTGACATTTAGCATAAAGTATTTGGAAAGATATACTTAGTTATATTATATCTTATGCACATCAATCTAATATAAAAATATTTAAATAAATATTTTACTCTAAAATATTCTTTATTAAATCATCATATAAAAACTTCATCGTAGTAATTAAGATAAATTATTGTTAACTCAAAAATCTCCAAGAAACCAATTCAACCTCGATTTTCTTATATTGGTGGGTATTAAATCGGATATTCCAAACCCTAATATAGGCTTAAACCAAATTGGATTGATGCAATAATTAAATAAATCATTAGGTAAATCACCAACATCACTCCTACAATTAGGTAAATCGACGTTTAATTGGACAATTAAAGCAACAGAAAATCCTTTCAAAGTAGTCATCACATACAAAACATTGTAGTCAAAGTAAATACGTGTAATAGATTAAGAGCAAAAAAAACAACACAATTATTACATGCTCAAATAAAAAATTTAATAAATCCAATATATTCCATGATATACTATGATACGGACGAACATAATAAATTGGTGCCTACTTGTGTAACACCCCACTTAGTCTCATATCGGAAGTAGGTAATAATTATAATTGACTTATATGGGTCTGAAGAGTATATTATGTTAACTCCCGCTTAAATATTTTGGTCCGTGGTTGAAGGATCAAAATGGAGTTATTGACTAGTTGGCTCATCAGACTTAGGTCGTGATAACTTGCTTGCTTGTACACATGAGCCGAGACTTAACCAGACCACACGAACATTTCCTTAAGAGCTTGGCCCAATGTGGTCCGCTCTTGAAGTTACTCGAGCCTTAATGTCCTGTAGAAACCGAAGGCCATTTGAACGCACGAAATCTCAAACTAAAGATAAGTTTGATGAGCGATATATCTATGTATATAGGTGTGACTCTCTCTCTCTCTCTCTCTCTGTCTCCAGTGATGCTATAGTGATTGTTGTATTAGATCCTTTAACTTGACCAAAAAAACACTCTATTGGGTATTATCTTGAAACTAAAAGGAAGGTGTATAACTTAATAATCGATAAAGATTATATACGTAGATAATCCGATGACATCTCATCAGGGTGACAAATCACAACGAAATAATAATGACGATTCTAAGTACACTCAACTTTGCAAATGAACTAAGAATTTCTAGTGCTAGCATAAACTTTTACACAATATAACATTGTCTTTCACAAACCATCTGACTCATTATATGTTTAGTGAAGTAGGTGACAACTTAAAATGGTAAGCTTGTTTAAGTGGACTTGAAGTTGGAGGCCAGTATAAAATGATAGAGCTGTCTGTTTCACTATGATATCATGAAGCATTCATTAAAATAGGATGTTAATATCATAATCAACGTAAGCAGTGACGACAGATGCCTAATGCATTATCTTCACGGCAAGGTAAAAGACTGGCTCAATGGCTACCGACCACCACTCGTTTGTATACGTTCATCCTGCACGATTAATACTACAGAAGAACCTGCGTTGTTTGGTCGCCTGGTGTCTGCCATCTCCAAGAGCTTCCGAATGTCTCAGGACTTACACATACTGTTCTTCCCCTTCTTGGCCCCGGGCCACAGCATCCCCATGGTTGACATGGCTAAGCTCTTCTCCTCTCGTGGAGTCAAGTCCACCATCCTCACCACCACCGCCAACGCCCCCCTCATACAGCCTACCGTCGACCGGGCCAACCAGTCCGGCCATCGCCACCCCATCACCACATCCGTCATCCGCTTCCCTGCGGCAGCGGCCGGCCTCCCCGACGGCTGCGAGAACGCCACCCATGTCACCACCGAGGAAGCAAAACTCAAGTTCCTCCAGGCCGTCGCCATGCTCCGCCAGCCCTTTGAACAAGCCCTCAGACGTCATAACCCCGACGCCGTCATCACCGACTTCTTCTTGCCGTGGAGCGTCGACGTGACGCTGGAACTCGGCCTGCCGTGTCTCGTGTTTCAAGGCACCAGCTTATTCGCGCTATGCGCGTACCAAAGCATCAAACGCCACAAGCCGCTGGAATCTCTCCCGAGCGACGCGGAGTCCTTCGTCGTGCCCGGCCTCCCCCACCGCATCGAGATGCTGAGGTCGCAACAGAGGGGCTCTAGTGAGGCGCCGTCGGTGCTGGAATTTCACCGCCAAGTCGGGGAGGCCGTGCAGAAGAGCGACGGCGTGATGGTGAATAGCTTTCAGGAGCTGGAGCCCGAGTACGCGGAGCACTACCGGAACGTGGACGGTAAGAAGGCATGGCACGTCGGGCCCGTCTCTCTCTGCAACAAGGATGTGCTGGAGAAGTTCGAGAGGGGAGACGAGACTTCCATCGACTTCAATAAGTGCATGGATTGGCTCGACGCTAAAGCCCGCGGCTCGGTTATATACGTCTGTTTCGGAAGCATCAGCCAGTTTTCCACGGCTCAGCTAAGGGAAATAGCGATCGGTCTCGAGGCCGCCGACAAACCATTCGTCTGGGTGGTCCGAGAAGTCGGCGGGGATGGAGCAGAGTGGCTGCCGGAAGGGTACGAGGAGCGGGTGGTGGGAGCAGGGAAGGGGCTGATCATAAGAGGCTGGGCGCCCCAAACCCTGATCTTGGACCATCCCGCGGTGGGGGGATTCCTGACGCACTGCGGATGGAACTCTTGCCTAGAGGGCGTCAGCGCGGGCGTCCCCATGGCCACTTGGCCGCTCTTCGCTGAGCAATTCTTTAACGAGAAGCTGATCGTGGAGGTGCTGGGGATCGGAATCGGCGTTGGGGTTAAGGAGTACGCGGCGAGGGAGCACGAACAAAAGAGGAAGGTGGTGATGGCGGAGGCTATCGCTAAGACGGTGGCGAGGCTGATGGGCGGAGGGGAGGAAGCAGAGGGCATGAGGAGGAGGGCGAGGGAGCTCGGGGAGATGGCGGCCAACGCCGTGGAGATTGGTGGGTCTTCTTATGTGCATATGGGCGATCTCATCGAGGAGTTGATCGATCGAAGGAACGCAGAAGGACTCTAAAACACGTTTGAAGCCATGCTCGATGGGTGCTTTTACAATATATTTTAGGAAATAAAATGCCTTTTATTTCTGAAAGACTATATCTTATTACTTATAATAAAAAATATATAATATAATTTAAATACAATAATATTATCATTCAATGGATAATATGCTTTGATGTTATGAGGTTTACGTCTCATTTGACGCAGTCCAATCTGATACGGACAATAATAGAAGGGGCCGAAAAGGACTCGTGGGGTGACTCCGCCTTGACGAAGTCATGAAACTAAGCGCTCTCCGGCACCGCCTCTCCGTGCCGCTCGCTCCACCGTGCGTTACGTTCCTCCTCTATAAACGCCGCCTCGTACCCCCTTCCTCCGCATACTCGTCACACATCGCGAACACGAGGAAGATCCCGAAACAAAAAAGAAGGGACAGCCAAGAACAAGAAGACGAGGCGATGCAAAAAGAGAGAGCCGAGCCTGCACTCGTGGATTACCTTAGCTTCCGCGATCTTGGAGCCGATCGCTTGACCTCCTCCGCACATCACGAGTCATCCAAGAGAATCTCCGCCGCAGACCGCGGTGATGAAGGCGACGACGGTTTCGAGTTCGCCTTCGTTCTCAACGACCCCGGGAAGGGCGACCAGCCGATCCCCGCCGACGAGATCATCTCCGACGGCCGGATCCGCACCCTCTGCCCCATCCTCGACAACGGCCTTGTCCTCGCCGACGGCTCCCCTGACCGAGAGAAGATCCGACGGCTGCCTGTCGAGGAGCCGCAGCGAGGCTTCAGCCTGGACTCGACGTCGTCGTCGGAGGCCGACGAGATCGAGAAAATACCACCTGAAACGTATTGCGCGTGGACCCCGGGGCGGTGCAAGAAGAGCACTTCAATGGGGTCGCTGTTAAGGTGGCGGATCCGAGACCTAGTAGGGCGGCGTAGCCATAGCGACGGGAAGGAGAAGTTCGTGTTCCTCACGGCGGATGAGAGAAGCGGGCATAAGAAGAAGGCAACGAAGGACGCGCCAACACGGAGCGCCATTCGCAATGGAAGAAAGGCGGCGGCGAAAGCGGGGGAGGAGGAGGACGAAGAGGAAGAGGAGAAAGAGATTGGGAAGAAGAAGAAGAAAAAGGAAAAATGTGGGCGAGGAGGGGGAGAAGGAGGCCACCGCCATCGGCGGTGACAGGGGCTCGTGCTGACCGAACAAGGCTAACGTGCTCGGGTTCTTTGCCAACGTCAATGGCTCCAGCCGCGTCCATCACCTCTGCTAATTTTTCTCTGTTCCTTTCTCCTTTTCTTAAATATGATTGCATTTATTTATTTATTTATTTATTTATTTTTGAGTGATTTTTTTTAAAAAAAATCTTTAAATTTAAAAAATTATCAAATTATGTTCTAACTTAAAAAAAAATTTCCATAGCACTTCTCTTAAGATGACCATCATGCCCCCATTGGCCATCGCCCTCCACTCAGTCTTTGGTTGTACTGTCACCTCGTCCATTGCCCCCCTATGTCGAACCCACATAGCAATGGAGGCACAACGGCCCTTGTTGCATCTCGTTGGACTAACAACGGAGTAGCTCTCGGCACCCTCATATGAGCAAGGGTGTAGGTGACCTTGCACGATACTTTCGCAACTAGCAATAGTCCTCATCGCCCTTGCGCGAGAAAGGGCATAGGTGGAAGCGATAGTCTTCATTGCCCCCGCCGTCGAACAAGGGTACAAGCGGCATTGCATGACACCTCCATGGCCATGCCACAGTGAGGGTTGAGGGTCCCTATATAGGGTTCGGTGGGAGTCACACAACCTTCTCATGCCCCTTCCTCACCAACATGGTCTCTTCGTGCCCTCTCATTGCCATCGATCATGGGCAACATCAATTTTATCGAAAGCCAAGCCACAAACTTTTGTGAACACCTGACATTTCGGCAAGTCATAGAACTTTGCGTGATCGAAACATAGTGGAGATATAGAGTACAGCTTGATCTGGCAAGGTAAAGATGTCCAAAATAGAGAGGGTGTTAGAATGTAGCCGACCGAATCCCTGCAATACATACAAATCATTGAGATTCCATGTAATAGATGAGACTTAAAAGACAAAAGAGTTCAACTCACTTGCTCCTGTTACATTTTAGCATCAAAATGAGAGGTTACCAATACAGGTATTGAAGCATACTGTAGTTGTAAAGATTCGAATACTGATTCGGATCCCATCGAGATTCTATTTCATGCCTATTTTGGCTTAGTGCAAAATGTTGAGGTGTCGAGACATTCTGGACGAAGCATATCCGAAGCTTATGTCAGCTTTGGATTAGGTGGTGTTAGTTAAATATTGAATCTTTAAGAGCATAATGTACTAGATAATCTTGATGTTACATACATGAGGAGTCTTTTTACGATGATGTTTTGGACCATAGCACTCGAGGGCATAGTTTAATGTCAGAAGTAATTACACACCTCATCCGATGTAGGCGTAATCGTGTTACGCTGAATTCGAAATATATGTCACGATCATAAAGATAATTTCAATGTCCAAGAGGTGAACTCTTGTTAGTCATGTGAAGCTCTGGCATTAGTCATAAAGGGTTAAGGTGTTGATCATATTGTGCTAAGGTATATTCAAAGCTTATGTTGGCTTCAGATATATCTCGTGAAACATATGTCAGTGATGAAGCTTAATCATAAAACACATTGATAGGACATATTTTGGTCCCTCATGAATCACCCGTCACATCATACACCGTCAATCGCAAACCCGATGTCACACGCCATCAGAACCATGCAATGCACATTATGTCAGGTTCGATACCGATATACTGTGTGACTTGACCACCCCGAGAGCTCGGGGTGGTACTATCTAACGCCGCTCAGGCACCCTAAAAAATGTCATCTCGTCAGAGAGGTCATCTGGCCCTCACAAAAGTCAGTGACCGTGCCAAACCGAGGCGCAATCAACCCCCGCATGCAGGTATAAAAACCCATGTTCGACGCTCGGTCAAGGAGGGTGAAGAAAAAGGATACACAACTGACTTGCTTGTCAAAGGGGCCAAAGTCAAGTAAGACCCGACGAAGGCCATTTTTGTAGGGAGGCGGTTACCCCAAGAGGCGAGCGTTTCCTTTCGGGAGTCACTATTCGGCACGCAAAATAGGGCAGTCCGTCGGCTTGGATCCCAACCAACGCTAGTTTGTACCCTCCTTCCCAAGAACACGCCTACGTTGCAAAGAAATGCTGCCAACCACCCCGAGGACTCTACTGACTCCGCCGATCTGACCCTCGCCAGAGATGCTCAAGAGGTGCAGCCACCTCATTATCCTGCTCACTCCACCAGAAGTTCCCGACGTCGGCCTACGGATCTAACCGTGTTAACTCATCAGCCACAATACTTTTGTTCCCTAACACATATCTGAAGCTTAAGTGCTTTTGATTAGGTGGTATTAGTTGAATATCGAGTCTTTTAAGAGCCGAATGCACTAGATAATCTTAGCGTTGCATATATGAGGAGTCTTTTTACAGTGATATTTTAGATTATTATGCTCGAGAGCATAATTTAATATTGAGAATAGTTACGTACTTCATCTAATGTAGGTAAAATTAGAGGATATGCCATAGTCATATAAGTGTAATTTTAACGTCGAAGAGGTAAACTCTTGTTAACCATGTGGAGCTAAGGCAACAGTGTTGATATATCGATCATATTGTATCGAGGTGCCGAGTTCATGACGCCTTGGTATCAGCCACCCAATATTGAGGTATCAATCATATAATATTAAAATATCGATTATATAATATCATGGTATTGAAATGTTATCATCATATACTATTAAAATATCAGACTAACATATTCACCATCCTTCGTCTACCATTACTCACGTATCAAACGCCACTCGATGCAATTTTGCCGTCCAACAAGAGTCTCGATTCGAGCTTCATTCACGTGATAGGACAAGTAAAAGAAGTCGATACAACATAGGATCTGAAGAAGGATACTGTAGCACGATAGTGTCCACGATCATATCTACGAATCCAATGGTCCGGTTTTTGTGTTACAACGGGCCCGACCCGTACATAGAATCCGGAATCCGATTTCACGGTCCGATCACAAGTTCCCAAAACGGATGATATCGTAAATTTCGATGTAGCATAACAGTGATCTCACATGCATGCACCCATCCACCATCATGTCACATTCCCTCCCGTACCTTTTAATTTGGTTTACTTCTCATGGACTCCTTGTTAAAGGATGCGGCCATCGGAAATAAAATATAAAGGTTTCTCGATAATCCATTAACAATATTAGTAATGGATATTGATAAATACTATAAATACGTTTGATCATGCCTAATTTTTTAGAATAAATGGATAACTTAACCTTCCTTTTCTTTGATGATATACGCTTAGTGTTTTTCTTAATATAAATAGGAAGATTTGAGTGTTTTTCTTTGTTTGATTTATCAAGAAACATAGCTACGGATTTATTGGACTTGATGGGATTAATTCAATATTAGTAAATATATGAAGTGAGGGTGACGTTATACAACAATGGATATTTATCTTCGATCTAAATTAAGTCGTAAGAATAATTAAAAGTAAGATGCTATATATTAATCTTTCACTTAAAAGTAGATAATGTTAGATCGAAATAACAATAAAATAAAAAAATAGATGTTAGATTTTTGTGATCCTTTATAATTATATAAGATATATAATATAATTAATTGGGTTCTGTTGAAATATTTTAATCAATAGAATAGAAGTTCACTTACGTACGATTCCTTAGCTCCTTGATAGGAGAAAATATCATAATATCTTATTGTAGATCCTCTGCTCTCACCTATGAATAGACTGGAGGATAGGAAGGTCCTGTGAAAAGATAGGAAGGTGAAAGAACAGGAAAAGAGGAGAAATGATCTACTCTTACGGATTGTAGCAGCGATCTTACATATTTTTATGCTTACAACACAATGACAAATGGAGCGCTTAATATAAAAGCAATAAGATAACGTAATATATATGGATGTTGGAGCAATTCATTTAGTATCGATTAGTCAAGTATTTTATTACAAGGAAATCTCATTTGACCTCGAATTTTATACATAATAAAAATAATTAGAAATGCTATTGATAACGTAATCGATGTGAGGCAATATAAAGGTCAGAAATAGAGAGGGGAGACGACTCTACAACCGATCCAAAGGACGTCCTCCGCTTGTATGAACTATAAAGTCAATATGAAGTGGCTCTCGTAAAGAAATGTAATTGATTTGGAAGACAAAGGAAGCCCAAATACTAATATAATCTAAAGGTCAGCGAATATAGAGGCACCTAAAGCTGCCTCTTTATACAACTTGCATCTTACATCACCTCGCATGCAACCCAACACATACATATTCTCTCTCTCTCTCTCTCTAGCCAATGTATACGTATCCGAAGTTAGTTATTCTCATATTATAATATGTCTTACTGCTAAAAAACTTACAGTTAATTCAATATAGTTACTCTACCAATTAATTATAAATACAGTGATATAATTCTCAAATTCATTATGGTTGAGGACTGAAATAAATGCAAGAGTATATATATATATATATATATATATATATATATATATATATATATATATATATATATATATATATATA